GGGCTTGCCATTGCCACAGGAGCAAGTCACAGCCCTTGCAATGGCAGAGACCTCCCTGCCTACCTCTGCCCCTGCCTGTATGGGAGCACAGCGGTGGGGTGGGGTGGGCGCGGAGCTGGAAGGTGGGCTGTGCTCTGGCCTCTGGTCATCTGCTCATCCCAGAATTTTATAACTATGGTAATAACCCAGCCTGAAGCTGGTAATAACCTTCCTGAAGCTTCCTGGGGCTGACTTGGTGGATGGTATTACTGTCTCTGCTAAAACGTGGGGTCAGGAAAGGGTTAAGGTGCCCCCAGGGAGGCTGATCTGCAGCAGGCAGCAGGATCCAGGTTGGATAGGGAGCACCTGGGTATAAATAAGGCCACTGGGAGAAGGCAGCTCCTTTGGCAGAGGCGGGAGGGCTGCGGAGGTGCCTCCCAGGTCAGTGGACTCTCTCCCACCTGCTCTTACCCGATTTGCCTTCTTTGTCTCGGCAGCGCTTTCCAGGGTGGCTGGGGTGGTGATGAGCTCTGTGGGCAGAGGAGGGGAGGTGTTAGGGTGTGGGGGCTGTCAGTGGGCAAGTATTTCAGTGGCTTACGTGGGGTCCTTCTGCAAACCCCTCACCCTGGGGCTGGGGAGCAAGCCCATCAGTCAGCAACCTACCATCGCCTCCGATCTGAGTCTCCTGGCTCTCTGCCACACAGGTGTTGTTGCTTGTGCTGTACTCCTTCACGCTTTCAAAGTCTGACATGCTGATGTTGGTCCTGTAGCTCCCGACGGACACCAGGTCTGTTAACAGGGAGGAGAAAAATACCCGGCGTGCTCACTCGGTGACACCCAAACTGCCTCTGTGCAAGGAGACACCTTGCGATGCCACGTCCAAAGCCCACGGAGGGGTAGTCTCCCTCTCAGCCTGGACATGATGGGTGTTGGAACTGTACAGAAGGGGTCAGCGGGAGAAGCAGGGTCCCTTGTTAGCCCATTCCATGGGGGTATGAGGGGAGCAGCTCAGCCCAGCGGAGATGGCAGTGTGTGCGAAGTATCACCTCCGTCTTAATGTTGCTGACCCTTGAGAGACTGGAAAAGGCAGGGACTCACCAGAGCGCTTCATCCCCCTGTACTTAAAAACAGCAAAAGCTGTCGCCAGGATCAGGAGCACGGCACCAACAGGGCCTAGGACTAGAAGAAGTATATTGGGGCCCTGGCTTTGGTCAGAGCTGGAAAAGAGGGAAAGATACAGCATTAAGTTGTGAAATGCATTATTTTTTCAATCATCTAAGACTGAATAATGTATATGAAATTCCAGCAGTCTAAAAATCTATGTAGGATGATAAATCTGGGTGAGGGTGATGCGATTCAATGAATGAACTAGTTCTCAGCACATCGCTGGGAACTAATGAAAATGTAGGACAGAAGTTGTGCTAAATCAGCTACATCAGCAGCTGGGTTATAAATGTGTGAGGGAAAGCTCTCTAATCTTGGCAGAAGTATTTTCAATTAGATTTTTGTACCTGGAATCTCTAATTGTTCCCTTCTGGGACTGTATTTTCTTACTTGGCCCAGAGATTAATTTCAAGACCTCTTGCCTTTTGCTTCTTTTCCCCTGAGGTTTTGAGCTATGTTCTTTGGAGACAAGAATTTGTTTTGTTGCTAAACCACGCGCGCAGTGTGCAAACACTGTACCAACAATGGGTTAATAGAAACTTCATAAAAATCACAAATTACAGGCTTGGAGAGAACTAACCCTTCCGAGGCAGCTGCGCTTCCCACTCCAGCATCGCTGTAGGCTCTTCCTTGGGGAATAACGCCATTCTCGGCGTGGCTGGGGGCCTCAACTTCCGGGAGGTCTAGGCTGTGGTCAGCGCTGCGTCCTGTATCACCCAGGGAAGAAGGGCAGTTAGTTGTGTGAGCAGTGTAGAGATGGTGATGCAAAAACCACTTGGGCGTATGTGGTGCGTGTGGAACTGCAGTGAGCTTTGACTGTGCATGAGAGTCCCCTTAAAATGGGGTTTAGAGAGCTGAAATGATCTTAGTCCAACTAATTTATTACAAAAAAATCTCAAGTAGGCTCTCTCTGCCTACATACTCTTTGAAAAGTCTTGCATTTGTAAGTTCTGCCTCTAGTATTTCCAGAACAAATTTTGAATTCTTGGTTTGCTTTTATTTCTAGCTCTTTTCCCACCAAAGACAGTGAAATGAGGATGTTTCTCTGTAACTATTTTTACTTTGACCATCACCCACTTAAGACTGTTACATGTGGGATATCTAGGACTATGCTTTGTTTTACTTCTAATATTCCTTACTGAGAAAAACATCTTAAATCCGAAATACTGCACTGAAGTTGAGATTGAAGCCCCTTGCTATCCAAGGGGAGTTGGTGGTAGCGCTTCCTTTCCTGCTCCCTACTGTTTTCCTGCTTATTAAGATAAGCTTCATGGAACAAGATGCCTATCTGAACTACATGTGGTCCTTCACCTGACAGATGTCAGATGTTGCTCAGTCTAAATGATGCTACAAATATGCTATTGCAACAATTAATAAGGACAGGGTTGAAAAACAGAAATGGTGTGGAAAGTAGTGATTTTTAGACTGGTAGGTTTTTTCGTGACTGGGAAGCAGAAACCAGCGAGTGGATGAAAACATCCATGCCAAGTTGCACAAGGTCAGGGGGATGTTAGCATCTGGGAGGCTGCCTGGATGGCAGCACTCCTGTTTTGGTGCTGCAACCTAGTGGCTATGGAAAGGACTTCTCTCTCAGCAGAAGCCAGCGCGGTTCACAGTCCTGAAAAGCACAAAAGCCTGCCTTCGCCTTGTAGCTCACCTTCAGTCACGTCCAGGTACACTGCCATGGTCTCCCCGAAGACACCATTGCGCTTCACCCCACACCAGTACCACCCTTGGTCAGACTCTGTCACCGGGTCAAAGGTCAGGATAACTGTCTTGTTGTCAGTGTCACAGGTAACACCTGGCCCCGGCTGACTTTGGTCAGAAGCTGTCATGGGGGTGCAGTCGTCGCTGCTCCACTTGCACCAGTACTTCTGGTAGGAGTAGTACTTGCATGGATAAGAGCAAGTTAAATCGACACGTGAACCCACTTGTGCCTCCACTTTCTTCTTTCCCTTCAGTCCAGGTTCTCCTGCCAGGGCAAACACAGCATCAAGGCTGATGTTAGTGGTTAGTGGTGGGAATGGTAGTCAACAAGTCGTGGTGCTGCCAGAGATGGGGAATCAGGAGATGTATCCTTGAGGGAAAGTGTACCTTACAGGGCTAAATTAATGTTAAGGATGCTGTGTATACATTTCTGGGTGAAAGCTGGGGCTTTTTTTGCAAGGCTTAAGAAATACTTCTATGAGAATCTTTCATGAACACTTTCACATCAAACTGAGACCTTGTGTTTCATTTTAAACACCATTTTAAAGCTACTGGGATGTGGGGTGATTGGCACAATGTTCTGCCTTGAGCTAAAAGGTCAGCTGGACCTCGCATCCCTTCCAAAGGAGCAGATCTGGCTTTTCAGGGTGCTTAGGAGGTTTTGTACCGACTGAGCAGGCAGAGAACTGCCAATGTGTGAGCTCGTACCATCTATGATCTTCAGCTCAATTGACGATTGCTGCTCCTTCTCATCTGTCATGCACCAGTAATAGCCTTTGTCGCTGTCCGTCAGCTGGTTCAGGATCATGGTGACTGTCTTGTTATCTGGGCTGTCATACATTGCCACTCGTCCTTCGTACGAGCCCAAACCGTTTATGATCGGATTACACCTGGCCTCTTTCCACTTGCACCAGTAAACTGAGGACTTCCTTGGAGGATTGTAGTGGCATTCAAAAGTTGCTGAACTTCCTTTTACTCCAAATATTGTAGTTTTTGCTTGAGGAACATTTGACTCTGGAGATAAAAAAGAAATGAGCAGCCACACGTGTAAATTTTGCTCCTGTGGCATCGTCCCAAGAGAATAAATATCAGATCAAACAGAGCTGTTTTTGCTAAAGCAAGGCTGGGTAGAGCTCAGCAGTGCAGACAGTATGAGATTGTCCTGGCACTGCTAGGCATTGATCCTAAAGGGTCTGACAGGCCTTTCTTTTTCCCAAATTCACTGGGTGGTTGTTGTCTGTGTACTGACATTTCAAAGTTTTGCTCCCTTTGCTAGGGGCAGGGCAGGTTTTCTTCTTTCTACATCTGCCATTTTGAGATTTGAAGAATTAAGTCTTGAAGAGATGGTTTGCCTGTCTCAAACTGGTAAGCAGAATTTGTCTTCTGGAGTTTTGAGCTAGCCAGAGTGGGGAAGACAGCTAGCCACTACTGGGAAAGTTGTCTTGATACAAGCTTTACTAGTCGTGGCTTAGTATGTCACAGAGAGCTGAATGACTAGAAAGAAGTATCTAGATGATTGGATAATAACACTCTGCAAAGGAAAATTGAAGTTCTTGTTAAATAAAGTGAGGTTGCTAGTGATGCTTCTGAAGAGAAGCAGAGATGAAGGGATAAAACATTGGGAACAGCTTACTCACCCTCATAGACGGCCACATCCAGTTCCTTTGTTTCTCCATCCTGCCCATAGGTGCCAAACCCACACTGGTACAAGCCGGCGTCTTCCCAGCTCACCTGAGTTATCACAATGCTGAGTGAGCCTTGAGAGTCCTCATAGCTCATCAGAACTCGCCCTATGTAATCCTCATCAACTTTCTTAGTACTATCGATGATGTCATAGCAGCTGTTTTTCTCCCTCTTGCACAGGTATTTCCTCTCGCCTGCATAGTCACTCCCAAAGCTGCAGGTTATGGCCAAAGTGCCGTGTAGCTTTACGTAGAAGAGCTCAGGTCCCTCGGGCACACGTGGACCTGTGCAGAGAGACACCAGTCAGCATCTACCGCCTGCTCTGTCGGTAACTGTGTGACTCCCCCGCACTTCTGAAGGAGTTTTTTAACATGGGGTTTCTCCATTCTTTGCTATAGTATATGATCACATGCCACTCCTGGTCATAGCATGACCTATCCAGCTGTGTCCGATGCCTGGAACACATTTTAGGACTGAGGTCTCCATGCTCTTTCACTGTCTGCTCTAAGGTCTTCTCCCAGAGCCTTCTTGCCAGGGGCCGCGCACTGCGCCAGTGCGGTGCCATCCTGCATACTGTGCTCTCGTGGACTTGAGCACGGGCTTGGCTCACGCAGCCTCAGCGATGGGTTGGAGGGCACATCGGTGTGACGGGGCGGTTCTGCCCTCTGACTGCATCTCCCTAAGTTTCAGTGGCTGAGGGAGGTCGGCCGTTTCTAAGCAATGTTTGTGACCTTAAGGTGAGGTTTGTTTAATCTGATTATTTTTATTTTTTATGTCAGATTTTTGGTCAAAAAATTCACTCTGTAAGAGCACAGGGGAAAATGAAAACTTTCCTGAAAGCATGGAGCATCTTCATCTCTTAAACACTGGACAGGCTATCTTGGAGCCTTATTAAAAACAAAAAGGGAGTGGAGGGGTGTGGAAGGGAAGTAAAAGAAAACAATACTTTAAGGAGCCTCAGGGCTGTAATTACCTCCAGAAACCTCCAGACTGACTTTGTGGGAGAGTCCTCTGCCATTGATACCAACACCGCACTGGTAGGTCCCCTTGTCTGCCATTGTAAGCCCGGAGATGCTAATCTGGAAGTTTTCTGCCTCTGGGTAGTCGGTGATGGAGGCTCTGCCTTTGTAGCCCGGAGCAGCGTATCCATTGCTGGAGACAATGGTCGTGCAGCCCATGGCCGACTCCCTGCACCAATACTTTCTGTCGTGTTTGTTCACACTGGTGGGAGGGTAGAAGCATTTCACAGTAACCGACCCGTTGAGCAGACCATATACCTGCTGTGGTCCGAACACGGGGCTTGAGACTGCAAGAGGAAAACATGTTGGCTGTAAGTGTTGGCTGTGCTACACAACCCGATGGGACTGCAGGGCAGGTCGGGTGTACCGTGGCAAGCACAGACCCAGGGCTGTGCAGCATCACATGGTCTAAAAGGCCCCATGGCAGTGATGGGCATGGATGGGGTAGAGACACTCCCTGAGCCCTGCTCCCCCTTTAGTAATGCCACCTCTGGCCTTAGGCAACACATAACACCAGTGCCCCAGACTGGTTACACATACTTGCTTCCTTGGGGGGGTATCTGCTGCTTGCAGATTCAGCTGGGAGGAAGGCGAGCAGGAAGATGAATGCCAGTGAAGTCATTTTTCTTGCATTCCCTGGAAAAAGGCATGAAAGTTGGTGAATAATCACATTTACAAAATGATTAACTGATCAAATTATCTAATAATCCACATGCCTGGAGGATAAGAGGGTTGTGGCTCCTTGAGCTGGAGAGAAATACAGCATTTAATCACTCCTGTCAAGAAATTGAATGGAAAAGAGGGAGTGGATGTGTTTTCCTGTGTTGCCTCATGAAATCCTAGCTGTTTGTGGGTCTCATCCCAACACCCCAGTCTTCCCTGGTGTAAAATGAGGGCAGTTGCTCTTATGACAAACTTGTTTGATGCAGTGCCTGCAAGCCACCAACGTGTCCATCTGAGCAGAGCGCCCCAGGGACAGTGTCCCATGGACACGCAACAGCAGGGGTGTGCACAGCACAAAGTGATTTTGGCCAAACCAGGGAAGTGTGACTTGATGTAAAATCAGAAACGGTATCTGGATATACACTCTACATCAGAACAGCCCATCACAAGGCTGAAGTCCAAAAGCTGCTGAGCCCTGGCAGGCAGGAGAGTCAGGTGGCAACCCAGAGTTCAGCTGCTCACTTGACCCTTGCCAGAAGATAATGCTGCTGCTAATAGTTTAATAGTTGGGCTCATATTTTCTTTCAGTGTTGTCCGTGCAGTGAAAGGAAGGCTTGTTCACTTATGAGCCTGAGTGCCAACACCACTCCTTAGGAAAACCTGCTCTCACAGAGTCAGAATGGTTTTGTTTGCAAAGGACCTTTGAAGATCATCTAGCCCAACGCCGCTCCGTGGGCAGGGACAGATTTCACTAGGACGTGTTGCTCAAAGCCCCATCCAGCCTGACCTTGAACACTTCCAGGGATGGGGTATCTTCAGCTTCTCTAGGCAACCTGTTCTAGTGTCTTACCACCCTCATAGTAAAAATTTCTTCCCTATTTACGAATTTCTTCCCTATGTCATGGAGCAGACTTCCTGTCTGCTTTGATTTACTGTTCTCGCTGTCCCTGATCTCTTCAAGGATACGCAAAAGAGAAAAAGGGTAATATTTTTACCTCTACTTTTCTGTTTGCTTCCTCAGCTGCTGGTAAAGTTAAGTGAGATGCAGGGATTTACCCCTCACTCAGACTTAAACCAAATAAAGCACTTTCCCACCTGTATATCCACCCAAACCTACTGCACCAAAATCAGCCATTGGCCAGGGCTCTGCAATGGCTACTGGGGAATGCTAAACCAAACTGTGTGTCCTTTCAAATGCGTCCATAGTCTTCAGGATGAATATTTCTGACCTTCCCTCTGTTTTGGACTATAAGATGGCTCAGAGGAAGCCAAGGCTCTTAATTTGCTGAACTGTTTTCTTTGGCCTGAACAGAATGTGCTGTTGGACACTGCATGGTGTGGTGGTGGGAATGTGCATTTCCTGAGCGTGGCTGTTGATCTACTTACGTACTACAAGTCCGAGAGAAGATGATAGGTGCCAAGGAAAGTCTTTATAAACATTCAGAAGAATTTGATTTCAGGGTGTCAAGTGACACAATTTTATTAAGGGTAATTCCCAGTAGAAGGACAAGGCTTTTATTTCCCTGTTACGATGAAAGGTGTTCTGTTGTACATTCTTCCTTGTATTTTGATTTCTAATTGCTCAGTGGCTACTTGTCCCTGGCTAATTATTAACTCACTGAGCATGAAAAATGTTCTTTCATACATATCCCAGAAAGAGCCAACAAGACAAACATAACATATTCTGCAGAGAGCAAACAATATGGCACAAAAGGGCCTTGGTGCTTGCCCATTGCTAACAGCGGTTCCTCTGGCTGATGGTCACCTCCACCCTTCCCTCTGCACTGCAAGCAGGATCCCAGTCCAGCTTTCTCCTTCCTGGCAAAATTGGTATAATCTGTTAGTCTGAATCCTCTCCAATAAAATCGCCTGCTTCAGGGTTCTGACAACATCGTTTTGTCAGGTAGGGAAGGATTACAAAGACTTCTTTTTTTTGAGACAAAGATATATCTGTCCAGAAAGCTGTGTGCAAGGGTGGTGGCATCAGGGACTTCATATGCATGTTGGAGCAGGAAAGAATCTTTGCATCTCTGTGTCTGAGGACACGTGCCCTTGTGCCTACACAAGAGCAATGGTCCCTCTGCTTGCACGGCCAGCATCTGCAACTTCTGCAGCTCTGGGCTGCCTGCAGTCCTGTTCTCTCAGGTGCTGTTTAAAACCTTCCCCCCTCACTGAACAAATGGAGAAAACTCCCCTGTGTAGCAGGTCCGAACAAGCACATCCACTGCTTACGTAAAAACCTGTGATGTACTCCCATGCTGATCCACTGAGCTGGATGGCTGGAAACCCCCTCCCTGCTGCTGGAGCCGTGCTCCACTTACAGTGACACTTCCTAGCCCAGAGAAATGGTGCAAATGAGCTTTGCTGGTCACTCTGCAACGAGCAAGCGCTGTTTGGGATGCTGGAGGAGAACTTCGTCAAGCTGTTGGGGAAAGAGCACTAGTTTCTTCTTGCTTTCAAATAATGTTTGCTGCTGGAATTGCTGTCTCTAGTCAGAGCACAAGGTTTAAACCTCAGAGCTCCAGGGAAGAGAAAGCTGCCGGGCTCTCATGAAAGGGAGTGCAAGTAAGTGGCCATGTGAGCGATTTGTATTAATGCTTCTGCAGACGGCGGGGGAGTTGGAAGGAGAGAGATGGGACAGCAAATGTTTGCTGGGGGCTACACAGGAATCACAAGGCTTGAAACCAGAGGGATGTGCCATGTATGCTATCTCCAGAGCAGCTTGAGAAGTGTGCTGGAAGGTCTGCACTGCTCTCAGCCTGCTGCGTGCCCAGAGATGGTGCCCGGGAAGTGCTGGGAAGGGTGAGGTGCCTGTGCCCAGCCTGTACTCCCCTGCCACTCAGCTGCAGCTTCTTAGCAGTCTATCCTGACTTTTCAGGCATAGAGAAAGGGCAGAAAAAGTGTTCCTTTGTTGTATATTGGTGAAATTTTTGCTGGAGCTGGCAGTGAATGTAAGACTTCATTTAAGACTTCATATACAGATGTCAGTAGATGCCCTCTGTCTGCCTCCCCTAAGCTGCTTCAGAGAAAGATGCAAATATCTGCCCTAGGTAGTGATGCTGACTGGTCCCGGGGGGTTTCCCCAAGTCCTGGGGGGGTCTGGTGGTTGGTGTGAAGTATGAGGCTTGTGGCAGTGCTCCCCAAACCTCTCAGCAGAAGCTGAATGTGGTCACCCCATATGGGAACAGTTGCACTGGCTTTGTGGATGACTGATCCTCTACCAGTTTTGCCCGGGGGCTGCGTGACGTGGCTGGTTTGGACTCAGTTGCCACACTGGGTTCCCCTCTACTCATGTCCACATCTCCTGCTTCCCCCTCTTGCAGGCACTGACCTGCGTGTCTGGGTGCCTGCTTTGGATTTCTGATCTCTCCGAGTTGGAAGGACTGAGCATGTGAGACCATGGTGTCCCCACGGACTGATGGACACTGGAAACTTCTCCCACAGGGAAAACCTGATCCTATCACACTGCAGCAGGATGGGTCACTGGGTCCCTGTTCGGCAGCTGATGTGCATGGCACCATGCCAGTCGGTGCCTGCAGCCCACATTGTGTGGCATCAGAGCTCCTGCCCGCACCAGAGCTGCCAGGCAGGAGGGAAGGGAGCGGCTGAGGGAAACCTGGACACACACCTTGTGCCACATATGTCCATGCAGGCAAAGAAGCTGCTGCCTTAAACATGATGCATTAAAAACTTGGTGAGAAACTGCAAGGCAGTGCAACGGACTGGTCAGGAGCTGGGGAAACCCAGTTATTCCCTCTAGGAAGGTGTCTCCAAGAAGCTGCTCTGCAGTACAGGGCAAAGTTGCCATGGGTGGGAAGTGCCAGTGCTCTGGAGCAGCCACCTCCGTCGGAATTTTGGGCTAGAGCTCACCCGCACTGTTGAGCCAGTCGCTGCAGACAGCCGGGTTGTCTCTGTGGTTAGTTTAAAGCATCCTGGTAGGTGCAGGGGAGGCAGGAATTAAAACCTTGTACTAGTTCTCCCCTCTTCCCTCACTCTGCAGGACTTGCAGAGAAGTGAGAAGCCCTGGGGAAAGCTTTCAGCTGCAGGAATGTGCCTGGGGTTTGCAAAGTCCCTGTTGCAAGTGGTCCTCCCTGGGTTATCACCAGCTGTAGGCTGGCACCGTATTCCTTTTTCTTTGGGGGTTTTTAGCTACAACTCAAATTTTGGTTTTGTGTATTTACTTTTATCCTGCATCTTCAGAACTACCAGCTTCCTTCTCTTCCCTGTCCCAACGTAACAGGTTTAGAAGGTTTAAGAGCACAGATGCAGTATTCCAGCTGAACTCAGGAGGAGGGAGTTTGCACGTTGGTGCATGGGCTTCCCACTCAGGCCCCTGGACACCAATGTCACCAAGATCAGGGCAATGGTGTCTTGTCCAGCATGCTCTGCCAGGCAGGGGTGGCTCCATGCTCTCCAGCTGTTTGCAGTGGTCTGGTGTGTTTGTGTGCATAATGCAACAGGGATTTCAAAGAATTATATGGTACAAAACCAGAACAGGAGAGGCTAATCATTAGCAAGATTAATAATAACAAATCTGAACATGTCATTGTAATATGCATTAAAACAGAAGATAATCATTACCAGGTAAATGGCATTAACTTTCTCCTAGTCACCTATTTCCATGCTTGGCTTGAGTTGCCACGTTCATGACCATGAGCTTGGAAACCGCTGCCGAAACCCCCACCGATGGTGATTGCGCAGGTGCATGAGCACATGAGAAACCTGGGAAGTGTTCGAGTATTTAATAAAACCCAACTATATACCCACACCATAACTGGTTAAAATTCATTACGCCTTGTAACATGTTTCCAGAATTTGGATTTTGTTGTGTTTTCTTACCACCTAAGGGCACTGGAGCTTGCCGCATGCACGTGCTGCACCAAAGGGGCTTTGCTGGTTAGTGCCGAGACACCGACGTGCCGCAGCGCGGGTTCAGTGTAAAAAACCATGCAACTGGGA